AGGATGGGGAAGAGGTTCCCTATGTTAATGAAATGGTGCTGGGCGGAAAGAAGGGACAATTTGACTTCTTCTTTTCCTAAGTGAATACCCTTGATTTCTTTCTCTTGCCTGATTGCCCTAGCCAGAACTTCCAAGACTGTGTTGAATAGGAGTGGTGAGAGAGGGCATCCCTGTCTTGTGCACTACCCAGTTCTACACATAAGAATGAACTATTTACCTATCTCTACTAAAAATACAAAAAAATTAGCTGTGTGTGGTGGCGGGCACCTGTAGTCCCAGCTACTCGGGAGGCTGAGGCAGGAGAATGGCGTGAACCTGGGAGGCGGAGCTTGCAGTGCGCTGAGATTGTGCCACTGCACTCCAACCTGGGCAGCAGAGTGAGACTCCATCTCAAAAAAAAAAAAAAAAGAATGAACTATTTGCTTTTATTATTTCCTGTTCAGAAAATAGTCAAGGCAATTTAAGTTCCCAAACTGAGTATGTGCATGATTTTTATTGATTATAAAAGTAGTATAAAACTTTGTAAAAGATTCAAATAATTGAAAAATATACTGGCGGAAAAGCACATCTTGCACAGTCCCACTCTATAGTGACATCATTAACAGATTGACAAATAGCTTTTCAGTTATTTCTGTTTATAAAACTACATGATTTTTATAAAAATGAGATTGTGATGTATATATGGTTCTGTAATGAGCCTGTGAATGGACATTAGATTATTTTAAATTCCCAGCTATTACAAATCTGCAATGACTATCTTTCAACCAAATTAAATTGCAAGTTACAAATACATTATTAGTCAGAATCCTATGGGTTCTTCAAAGAGTCACACCAATAGGATATAGATATAAAAGAAGGAATTTACTAGAGGAATTGGCTCACATAATTATGGAGACTGTGAAGTCCCACAATAGGCCATTTGCAGGCTAGAGAACCAGGAAGTCTGTTAGCCTGGCTCAGTCCAAGTCTGGAGGCCTGAGAACCAGAGAAGTTGATGGTGTAACTCTGGGTCTCAGACCAAGGCCTGTGAAACTGCAGGGCCACTGGTGCCAGTCCCAGAGTCTAAAAGCTGGAGAATGTAGAGTTCTAGTGTCCATGGCAAGGAGAAGAATGGTATTCTAGCTCCAGAAGAGAGAATAAATTTGCCTTTTTTCTGCCTTTTCATTCTAAGTGGGTCTTTAGCCAACTGGATGGTGGGTGCCCACATTGGGTAAGAGTGGATCTCCCTTACTCAAGCCACTGGTTCAAACATCAGTCTCACCTAGAAACACCCTTGCAGTCACATCCAGAAATAATTCTTTACTGACTATCTAGCCATCCTTTAATCCAGTCCAGTGGGCACCTACAATTAACCATTGCAACCAGTCTGAGTAGATACATCTGCACATATATCAGATCTGCTGTAACAATCAACCTCGACATCTCAGTTTCCTAAGACAAAATAGTTTAGAGCTTGGTCACATCACAGTCTGATACAGGTTTCAAGCAATGATGATGGTGGGCTCTGATACACATATTCATTCAGGGACTCTCTCATCTCGTGACTCCATTCTCCTTTTGGTCCTTGCCTTCCTCTGCCTTCTACCTGGGGAAAATCAAAAGGGCACAGAGAAGTCCCACACATGCACTCACAGTCACCTCAGCCTGGAGATGACCTGCATCACTTCCATTCACATTCCACGGGAATAATTGGTCACAAGGCTTTATCTATATACAAGTCCAGATACACACCCAGAAAAGAGCACAGGCACTGGACAACACTAGCAGCTTTAGTACTTTAACGGCTTTATTTTCTACACTTGAAACTAATCAATGATCAATGTAAAAACTTGGAAAACAATAGAAAAAAGGAAAATCTCTGGCAATCTCACATTCAAAGATATCACTGTAAATATTTGGTGTATGCATGTTCTTATAAGTGGGAGTTGAACAATGAGAACACGTGGACACAGGGAGGGGAACATCACACACTGGGGCCTGTCGGGGGGTGGGGGGCTAAGGGAGGGATGGATAGCGTTAGGAGAAATACCTAATGTAGATGACGGGTTGATGGGTGCAGCAAACCACCATGGCATGTGTATACCTATACAGCCTGCACGTTCTGCACATGTATCCCAGAACTTAAAGTATAATAAAAGTAATGAAAAAATATATGCTATCTTTGTACATGTGATTTAATTAAAATTTACATATTTAAAAGCAACAAATCTGCAGCTGCTTCTTGATTTTAAAAAATTTGATGTCTATCTCTTTGCCTATTTTTTACCACTATCCTGCAAGACTACCCTGCTGAAAAGACGTACACTGTTATCCATCCACCATTTTACATTGCTACATGTGCCAGAAGAGTCTTAAAGCAATTAGACTAAGTATATGCTATGAATAGATTTCTTTTTAAATTTTAACAGCTTTAAATGACTTTTTTCTAAACCTAAAAAATATTTATCATGTTGTGGAAATATACAGAAAAATAATCCAACTAACAATGTATAGGAAAGTAAAGTTGTAAGTAGAAATGTTTGTTATTTGGTGATATTGTAAGAACTGGGAGAAAGTAAATCCAAAACAAGACATGTGCATGTGACTTCACTATATTGAACAACTTATCCTCAGTAGGACAAAAGTTTTTCTTTATTCTGACTCCAAAAACCTTATTACAAGCCTTTTATTGTTAAGTACTATTTCATATCTATTTTTAAATGATACAATGTATACAAACACAAATAGATATCTAATAAGGCCATGTTGACATTTATTAGGTGATTATATCTAAAAGTAGTCATACATTCTTTATATATTTGTAATACATGCCTTGTGTCTGTATCCTTGCAAATTTTTATACTATCTCCAGGTATTTTATGGAATACTGCCATATATTTCCCTTTCTCAGTGTCCTCAGGAACCCCTGAAATACAAAAGCACTCTTAACACAGTTTTTTTAATTGGCAAGATAATGGAACTTAGAACATTAGAATATTGTAATATCGGAAGTTCCATTTATTACACTGATTAAACAGTGTAGAATAACACTGAGGATGTAGATGTCATGCGGTCAAGTCTCAGTCTGCAAAGCCCATTCCCCTCCCTTCCAGGGCCATCATGGTCCTGAGTGGAATCCTAAGGTGATACCTGGAATGTGCTTGCCTCTGAGAGCAGCCTTTTAGCTCCCCAGGCCTCAGCTGCATTCCTGGAATATGAGAAGTTGCTTGGAATTCCTTCTCCATAGCCTCAGTTGAACCTGTGTCTCTCTGTGGATTATGGCTCTGCTCCTAGGTTACTTCACTTTAGAATAGCTTTCTTTTCTAGGTTTTTGTTTTTTGTTTTTTGTTTTTTGTTTTTTTTGGGAGGGGGTCCTGTTCTGTTGTCCAGGCTGGAGTGCAATAGTGCGATCACAACTCAATCTCCCAGGCTCAGGTGATCCTTCCACCTCAGCCTCTGGAGTAGTTGGGACTACAGGTATGCACCACCATCCTGGCCAGTTTCTTATTTTTAGTAGAGAGAGGGTCTCTCGATGTTACCCAGCCTTGTCTTGAACTTCTGGCCTCAAGTAATCCTCCTGCCTTGGCCTCCCAAAGGACAGGGTTATAGGTGTGAGCCACCAGACCTTGCTTATTTTCCAGGTTTTGAGAAGCTGCAAGTTAGATAATTATTGTTGCCTGTCTAACCTACTCTCTTCCACACATTGCTGAGGTCACTGGAAGAAACAGAAATAACAAACTCTTTTTCTTCTATCCCTAACTTTTCCTGCCTCATCTAGAATCACCACTCTTGATAACAGGGCCCTCCATTTTTGTCTATCACCTTATTAAATCTTCTGTCAAATCACTTTATTTAAAACATTTTGCAAACTTAGAGAAACTATGGTTACAACTAAAAATTGTAAGCTGACAGTCATTTTAGCTGTTGCTCTACGAGAGTGGCAGAATTCCTCTTAAAGAGCAAACTGCTTCTTTGTTGGTAAAGCATCCAGTGGGTTTTTCTTGGTGTGGGGGTGAGCCCCAGGAGAGTCTGGGCAGGAGAGGGTCAGCCTGAAAAAGAGCCAAGTTTCTCTGCACCATCAAGTTACAGGAATTTTGAAGTGGGTTCCACCCACCACTGCAGGGCTGAGGAAGGTCAGACCATGAGAGAGAGACATTGAAAACAAAAAACTTTCTTAGAGTCCAGAGAGCAGGCCCCAGAAATACCCAGTGAGAGTGCCACCAGTAAGGACTCCTCAAGGGGGAGACTTCAGAAAACTTTAGCAAGAGTGTGACCAGGATTCAATTTTAAGTCAGTCCCTGTTTTGTGCTATCATTCCTCTACATTACTCATATAAAACAAGAAAATACAATAACACACTGCTAATCACAAGAGTACTGTTATGAAGAAAAGGGTGGTGAGTCCATATTTTGAAGCAAAGCAAACTAGAACGGGCTGGGGCAGCCTGGAGAGAGGCAGTGGGAAGATGGAGGGAAGAAATTGAAAAAGTCAGGAGCAAGAGAAAAATGGGAAGAACCAAGTCTCAACTCTAGAATCTGCTAGAAAATCGAAGATCACGTTAGACTTCCCACAATTTAGAGGATGGCTGTTAAAGAAAACGATGGCCTCAGAAGAGTTAAGGACTTTGGGGTTTTATGGATAATCCTTATGTGAAACATTACATGTTTTATTCACTGCTTAAACAACAGACTTCAGCAATGATGTATGTTGGAGAGATGGGCACAGAAAGTGAGGAAGAAATGTGTGCCTGCAGTTTGTCAGAAGCCTCATGTATATTCACACATAATAGTAATAAGAAAAAGATCAACAGAAAGTGATTATGCAACATTCAACATTTTTGCAGTACCCAAAGACTTCATGGAGTTGATTCATCTTAATATTGTCATTTTGATACAAAATATCTTTGCAGGATATTTGTAGGCATGGCTACCCCAAATCCCATTTGCATTAATCTAAAACAGCCTTGCAGGCCCAGTGCCAGAAATTCCTTGGGCAAGCCCATAATGTGCATTCACCTTGAAGCATGAAGGTACAGCTTATCCAGCAGAAATATCAGAGGCCAGGCTCCCAATACAAACTCCTTCAGACTTCTCAGTACTCAAGACATCTCAAGGTTTTGAACAGTAAAGTATAAAATACTGGCAGAGGCGGGTAGGGCGAACAAGAAAAACTGGTGACAGCCCAGAAAAAATATCCAAGGGGATTGCATTTTTCTTCTCCAAAGCAAAACAGAATTCATAACTAAAAGAGGAATAGAGAAAGAGGAAAAAAGTGATCTGGGACCTGTTGTTTTTCTTTTATCCCATTTCTACTCTGCCTGTGAGTGAAGACTGTTGTGGAAAAGTCAACTGGAGAGACCAGGTCAAAGGCCAAGCAGAAGAGGAATTAGGCTTAAGACTGCACTGAGAGGGAACACTAGACCACGGTGGTAAGTGTTCTTGTTGCATCTGTTGGTCTTTCATTAAATAACGGCATTTCAGCTGGGTTGTAGCCTCCTTAGCTCTCACTCATTGCATCTTTGATGTTTTGCCCAAGGGTATAACTATATTACATCAGTATACTGTTTTGGCCCATGGAAACCTTAATATTGCTCTCTGGAGAAAGGACAGTTTAATCACTCACATGACATTATGTACATATGTATGTATTTGTATCGTTTTCTTAACTGAAAGTCCTTCTCCCACCTCCTTGACATTCCCAAACTGCTATTTGCTACCCACACTTTTCTTCTGTTGTTGGTTCTTTTCTTTCTAAATGAATTTAATACAGTTATGGGAATAAAGCTCTTTCTGAAATTGGGAGAAGCCCTCCCAAGTTGTCATCCCAGTTGCCAGCTTTGAAACCTGTTTAATTCTGGACGAAAACCACAACAATGATGTCTCATTTTGGAAAGCATCTTTCAGATGATATAATCAAAGCAAATTACAAATATAAATTTCCAACTAGGTTTTCTTCATGTTCAATGAAGTTAACTCCAGTGATCCCAAACAAAGACATGTTAAATATAGTTGTAGGCCTAAGATCATAGAGTTAATTGGTAGATAAGTCCTAACTCTAAGGATTGGGTTCGTGAGTTCTTCCTCCTTTTTTCCTGCTGTATCTAGCAAATGATTTAATAATTTATAAAAGTACATGCTTGTGTCAGGCATATCGGGCATTTTGCTAGGCATAGCCTACATGATTTTAAGCCACATGAACTTCTGAGTTTTTGCAACTGGCTGGGACTTACTTGCTGACATTTCATAGAAAGTGCTGTGGTTCCTATGTTGTTCCCAATGTGGAAATGTGATTTCAGGTAGGGTTGAAATCAAGGTGTGACTCCTGAACTTCCATCTCTAACCATAATGGGATGACTACTGTACTAGCCCAAAACTACTCTAAAACTGGACAGCATATGTGAAACATTCGATTTCAGGCAGTGGATAACAAGCAATGTAAGGCTGTGATCCTTAAGAGAAGGGAAGCGCATGAGGTGAGCTACATGATTGCCTCAGCTCTGTGGCTGGAGACAATGTCCTGACTATGGCACAGAGACCTGGAGTCTGAGCAGAGCATGGTAGTGCTGTTGAGCGGAGGAGGCAGACATCAGGGTTCAGGGCAACTAAACAAGTGGAAACTGTGGAGCCTGAATGGAGGGAGCTATGTAGAGAGAGAGGACCCCAAAACCCAGCAGGGATCTCCTGCAAATCGGTGGTTGAGAGTTGGATTGTAAATGTGCAGGATGAGGCAACCTGAGCCTTACTAGATATCAGATGTTATGCAATTGAAAGTGGGACCAAGATTGTAGAGGTTGAGCAGTGCTTGGGGAAAAGCAGTGGCAGAGAATGTCAGAGTTCCGGCCCTGCCAGAGAGGAGAGATTTATTAACATCTTGTTAAAACTCCTGACATCCAGCTGAGACACCACAAAGTGCACATATTAGGAATAAGGAATATGCCCCTAGAGAAAGACCAACTCTAGACTCACCCTAACAAAGCCTAAAACCAAACCCCAACAAGATTTATACAGGAGACACAGTTTGGAAAATGACTACTGAAAGGTTAGAAGAGCTTGAAAACACCTTGGACCGTCCACAGATCTATACTAGCAATGCAAAACACTAAGTCTATACATGTTAAAGTAATAAGTCATTAAATGAACTGCCTCCTTAATATGAATCCAACCATTTTTAGAGGAAGACTACAGAATCTAGACTCTCTACAGTATGTTGTTCACAATGTTCACTATTTAATCATTAGACATACAAATAAAATCACAGAAGACTCAAAAATATCTTAATGAGTAATCAAATGGAAAAGAGCAGATAAATGGAAACTACAAATACAACTATATGAACATTCTAGAACTGAAAAATATAGTAACTGAAATAAAAATTGAGCTTAACAGCAGATTAGACTTAACATACAGAATCAATGAACTTACATACAAACCAACAGACATGCCTGAATCTGGAGAGTGGAGAGAAGAAAAATAAGCAGAGTTTCAAGTAGATAATATCAAGCAGCCTAGCATACAGGTAATTGAGTCCTAGTAGAAGAAAATAATGTGAGGCAAAAATAATTGGAAGAAATCATGGCCCCAAACTCCCCACATTTGAAGAGAAACACTGACTTCCACATACAAGAATTTCAATGAACCCACACGGGACACACATAAGGAAATCTGCACGTAGGCACATTAGAGCCAAACTGCTGAAAACCAAAGATAAAGAAAAAAAATCTTAAAAGCAGCCAAAGAGGAAAAAAAAAGGTACTTTATATACCATGGGACAAAAATAAGAATGATCACTGACTTCTCATCAGGAACAATGGAGTCCAGAAAACAATGAAATGACTTTTTTAAAGTACTGAAAGAAAAGGAAAACTGTCATCTCAGTTTTACATCCAGCAGAAAGAGCCTCCATAAACAAGAGTTAAACAAAGACATTTGTTGAAGAACAACAGCTGAGAGAATTCGTTTCCAGCCTGCCTGCCCTGCCTGAAGGATGTCTTTCAGGTCAAAGAGAAATTTAAATCTCCAAGATCAAACGGCACCAGGAATGTTAAATAAGAGAAGATGGGCATCTTCTTCATCAGAAACGTGAACAGTTTTAGACAAATGTCTTCAGGACCATGCTGAAGCTAGATATCATTATAGAACTGAAGTTCCTATACACTTAATTTCGAGTTTCTTCTACCTAAGAGTTAACTGTCTTAATATTCGGCCTTTGTAATCAGAATGGTACTGAGAGTTAGCTGAAAAGTTTTTTAAATTAAAGCATTCTTTTCCAAGGTTGTCTGGAAATTTGACATTTAATTCAGCATTGAATATGAACAGCTCAGAGTCTAGTCTCAGAGCTCCCAGCTACTTTTCTTTTGTCCAACAGAAGAGGGCTATGATTCAGAGCCACATTGTTGATTGCCTCTACCAGTACTTAGTGAAAGGGTCTGACTCATCTAATATGTGTAGAGTTTTACACTACCCATCTCTGTACATTTTTAAACATTCCTCTATATACTTTAAATAGTCATGAGATGTTTTAACTCATAAAAAACAAATGTAGGGGGGTGCGAGCAAGATGGCCAAATAGGAACAGCTCCAGCCTCCAGCTCCCAGCGCAAGCAACACAGAAGACAGGTGATTTCTGCATTTTCAACTGAGGTACCAGGTTCATCTCACGGGGGAGCGTCGGACAATCGGTGCTGGTCAGCTGGTACAGCCCAACCAGCGAGAGCTGAAGCAGGGCAAGGCATCAACTCACCTGGGAAGCACAAGAGGGAAGGGAATCCCTTTAGAAACTGAGACACACAACACCTGGAAAATCGGGTAACTCCCACCCTAATACTGCACTTTACCAAGGGTCTTAGCAAATGGCACAGCAGGAGATTATATCCCACACCTGGCCAGGAGGGTCCCACGCCCATGGAGCCTCTCTCATTGCTAGCACAGCAGTCTGAGATCTAACTGCAAGGCAGCAGCGAGGCTGGGGGAGGGGCGCCTGCCACTGCTGAGACTTAAGTAGGTAAACAAAGCCTCCGGGAAGCTTGAACTGGGTGGAGCCCACCGCAGCTCAAGGAGACCTGCCTGTCTCTGTAGACTCCACCTCTGGGGACAGGGCATAGCAACAAAAAAAAGCAGCAGAAACTTCTGCAGACATTAATGACCCTGTCTGACAGCTTTGAAGAGAGCAGTGGATCTCCCAGCACGGAAGTTGAGATCTGAGAATGGACAGTCTGCCTGCTCAAGTGGGTCCCTGACCCCTGAGTAGCCTAACTGGGGGACATCCCCTACTAGGTGCAGACTGACACCTCACACCTCACATGGCGGGGTACACCCCTGAGATGAAGCTTCCAGGGTAAGAATCAGACAGCAGCCTTGCTGTTCAGCAATATTCTATCTTCTGCAGCCTCTGCTGCTGATACCCAGGCAAACAGGGTCTGGAGTGGACCTCAATCTCCAACAGACCTACAGCTGAGGGTCCTGACTATTAGAAGGAAAACTAACAAACAGAAAGGACACCCACACCAAAACCCCATCAGTACGTCACCAGCATCAAAGACCAAAGGCAGATAAAACCACAAAGATGGGGAAAAATCAGGGCAGAAAAGCTGGAAATTCAAAAACTTCAAAAAATCAGAGCGCATCTCCCCATCCAAAGGAACGCAGCTCATCACCAGCAACAGATCAAAGCTGGACGGAGAATGACTCTGACGAGTTGAGAGAAGAAGACTTCAGTCCATCAAACTTCTCAGAGCTAAAGGAGGAACTACGCACCCAGCGCAAAGAAACTAAAAATCTTGAAAAAAGATGCAAGAATGGATAACCAGAATAATCAATGCAGAGAAGGCCATAAACGAACTCACAGAGATAAAAACCATGACACGAGAAATACGTGACAAATGCACAAGCTTCAGTAACCGACTCGATCAACTGGAAGGAAGAGTATCAATGATTGAAGATCAAATGAATGAAATGAAGCGAGAAGAGAAGTCTAGAGAAAAAAA